GCGCAGCTCCTGCGGAGAGAGTAGCTCCCGCCTCAACGAAGCACTGCGAGAGGCCACACGAGCAGACCCAGCACCCCCAGGCTCCGCACCCCCAGGCTCAGCACCCCCAGGCTCAGCACCCCCAGACTCAGCACCCCCAGACTCAGCACCCCCAGACTCAGCACCCCCAGACTCAGCACCCCCAGACTCAGCACCCCCAGACTCAGCACCCCCAGACTCAGCACTCCCAGGCTCAGCACCTCCAGACCCGGCACCCACAGGCTCAGCACCTCTAGCAGCACCAGAGTCAACAGCTACCTCGACAGGCTCGACTGCGTCTACCTGGGACACACCTGACGGGGCAGGACCCTGAGGGGGGAGGGGGTCAACCGGGGGAGGACCTGGTGCAAGGAAGAGCGGCGGCGGGGGGAGGGGCGCAGTGCGGTAGGGGAAGAGACGGTAGTAAGGCACCGACTCGTCAAAGGTGACGTCCTGGGAGGACAGAACACGGCGCGAGGTGGGGTGGTAGAACTGCCACCCAGGCGCGTCAGGGGGGAAGCCAAGGAAGACGCAGGGAACAGCACGGGGGGACAGCTTGTCCGCAGACAAGTCACGGACAAACGCCCGAGATCCCCAGACCCGAAACGCAGACGCATCGCCAACCTTCTTGGTCCACCGCAAGGTGGGGGAGGTCTCTGGCAAGGAGACCCGGGGCTGAAGGTTGAGCTGATGCGCTGCGTACTGAACCGCAAACGGCCACAGAAAATGGGGGGCAGCCGCTTGGATCATGGACGTACGAGCGACGTCCATGACCATGCCAATGCGGCGCTCAGCAATCCCATTTTGCTGTGGAGAGGCCGGAAGCGTGAAGGTCTGGCGGATGCCCTGTGCACGACAGAAGGCTCCCAGACGGGCAGAGGAAAACTCCCCGCCTCTGTCAGAGTGCAGACGCAGAACAGGAAAGTCCGAGCCGAAACTCTCTCTGAGCTGGAGACGAGCAGCGCCGATCCAGTCGATCAACACCTCAGTGACATCACCCTTGCTGCGCAAGGGGAACACCGTGGTGTAACGCGAGTAGTCGTCAACCACCAACAGGAAGTAACGCTCGTGACCCTGGCCACGGACGCGGGCGGGGCCCCACACGTCCATGTGAAGAGTCTGCAGTGGAGCCTCTGTCGGAGGAAACTCGGAGGAGTGAGGGGCGGCGCGCTGTCGCCCCTCGACGTAGGGGACGCAGGTAGGGGCAGGCCCCGGAGGTAGGGGAGGTAGGGACCGGTGGAGACCAGAGACAAGGACACGGGAGGCCATGCCTCGGAGACGAGGCAGGGAGGGGTGACCAAGGCGGTGGTGCCAGAGGAGAGTCTGGTGGGACAGGAGACGACACGAGCAGGGCGCAGACTCAGGACCAGACCTGGACGCTGCAGCAAACACCTGACTCGACGCAGCTACCTGACCAGACGCAGTAACCGGAGGAGACTCAGTAGACAGTGTGTACAGGCTCGACCCCGGCCGACGGGTAAACGTGGCCAAGTGTCGGCCCGTCCGAGCACACGTGCAGTGGGTCACCCGCTGACTCGCAGGAGTGAACTGGTCAACCCCCTGATCCTGAAGATCAGCTCCACTCACCAAGTTCGTAGAGAACGAGGGGAGGTAGAGATCTGACAGGGTGCCAGAGGGGGCTGCCGGGCACGGTAAGACAGTGGAGAAGCTAGCAAGGACAGGACCCCCAGAGGGGTCCGCCAGGGAGACCGCAACCGGCCGACTAAGCGGCGTAAGTGTGGTGCGGTCTCGAAAGAAGGAGCGGGAAGCACCCGAGTCAAGGGTGAAGGTGTGTAAGGCCTGAGCCGACGTGGTACCTGAGAGAGCAGACTCACCAGCACCTGGAGCATCAGACGCTCTAGCACCTAGAGCAGCAGTCTCACCAGCACCTAGAGCAGCAACCTAAATGCCTGGGTCAGGCGGAAGACACAGGTAACAGTCACCCTCATCACTAGTAGACACAGCATACATGGCAGCAAGAATAGCATCATAATCAAGATCAAAGATAGCAACCCCCGCCCTAGACAGGTCTCCGCAGCGAGGGATCTCAGTGGCGTCAGGGAACTGGTGACACCACGCGTCCGTCAGGCGGCCGAAGCAGCGCTGGGTGGAGTGCGGGCCCCCGCACTGCTCACCAGCGCGGTCGCCGGTACGGAGGACGTAGGTGCAGGGACCAGTACCCCCACCTCGCTGACGCCCAGCGTACCACTCACGAAGCTGCTGGGGGACGGGGTCTCACGACTGCGCTGCTGCTGCTCGCGCTGACCACCACCGGAGCCACTCCTCTGCGCAGAGCCGCGACCAGCTCCACCGCTGCCTCCGCCGCCTCCGCCACCTCCGCCGCCTGCGCCACCTCTGCCGCCTCCGCTCCCTCCGCCACCGCCGCCGCCTCCTCCGCTTCCACTGCTGCTACCGACACCTCCACCCCCGCCACCACGCCCACCACCACCCCAACCCCCTCCACTACCTCCACCACCACCTCCACCGCCCCCGCTAGCCCCTCCAGTGCCCTTGCCCCCCTTGCCCTTGCCGGTGCGGCGTCTCCCGCTAGGGGCAGACGCAGCGCCAACCGACTCGAAACAAACGAGGTCGGCCGCAGCAGCAGAAGCAACAGAGGGCAAGAGGGGGGAGGGGGAACACCCCTCAAAGACGGGGATGCGAGGGTCACCACGAGAGGCTCCTACAGCGACTATGCTCTGCTCTGCTGCTAGGAGGCGCTCCTCGAGGAGGTCAACGGTGAGTGTGGTGGGGCAAACTGAGAGGAAGTGGTCCCTGACTAAGCGAAGGGAGTCAGGGAGCCGGGTGACTATGTAGTAGAGGGTGATGTACATGGGGGGGGGGTTCTTGGCACAGAACTCAGCAGGAAGCGCAGCGCGGTAGCGAGTGTCACTAGTGCGAAGGTGCGTAATGAGGTCAGCGACTGTGGGAAAGGCAGCAAGGTCAGGGAACAGGTACGACAGCATGAGGCGGCTAAGCGCAGCAGTGGCAGGGGAGGAGTAGCGTGCGACTACAGCATCGTACAAGGTCTTAGCGCTCTTGTACTGGCTAAAGTGCGCACGCTCAGTGGTCGGTAAGTGGCGACGCACAGCAAGACGGGCAGCAGCATCGCGTGTGGCCCACTGTGAGCGAACAGTGCTGTCAGCAGTAGCAGGCGGGGCAGGAGAGGCACCAGAGGTGAGATCGAACAGGGAGAGTCCGTCAGCCCTATCGCAACAGCTGGAGGTCATCGACCCACACCTCAAAGTCAACAGCACGACCCTCAGCATCAAAGGTAAGGACACTGGGGGTAGCCATGACTGCAGTGGCCTAGCAGGGAGGGATCTCACCAGTCCGAGTAAGTAGGGCCGGGGCGCGCCGGCGGGAACAGTGGCGGCTCAGCGGCAGGGCGGCTCGGCGGCTCGGCTGCTGGGCGGCTCGGCGGCTCGGCTGCCGGGCGGCTCGGCGGCTCGGCTGTTGGGCGGCTCGGCAGCTCGGCGGCTCGGCTGCTGGGCGGCTCGGCTGCTGGGCGGCTCGGCAGCTCGGTTGCTGGGCGGCTCGGCGGCTCGGCGGCTCGGCTGCTGGGCGGCTGCTGCTGGGAGGTTCGGCTGCTCAGATGCTGGGCGGCTCAGCGGCCGGTAGAGGCGGCGAGGGGGGGGGGGGGGGCGCTAGGGGCGGCAACGGGGCCGCGTAGGGAATGAGGTGGCGACGGGGCCGCTAGGGGCGGCGACGGGGCCGCGTAGGGGCGGCGACGGGGCCGCCAGGGGCGGCGACGGGGCCGCGTAGGGGCGGCGACAGGGCCGCGCAGGGGCAGCGACGGGGCCGCGTAGGGAGTGAGGCGGCGACGGGGCCGCTAGGGGCGGCGACGGGGCCGCGTAGGGGCGGCGACGGGGCCGCCAGGGGCGGCGACGGGGCCGCGTAGGGGCGGCGACAGGGCCGCTAGGGGCGGCGACGGGGCCGCGTAGGTAGGGAGGCGGCGACGGGGCCGCTAGGGGCGGCGACGAGGCCTCGTAGGGGCGGCGACGGGGCCGCTAGGGGCGGCGACGGAGCCGCTAGGAGCGGCGACGGGGCCGCTAGGGGCGGCGACGGGGCGGCGTAGGGGCGGCGATGGGGCCGCTAGGGGCAGCGACGGGTCCGCGTAGGGGCGGCGACGGAGCCGCTAGGGGCCGCGAGAGGCCTGGAAAGGCGGCGACGGGGCCGCTAGGGGCGGCACGAGGGGCCGTGAGAGGAGCCTCTAAGGCGCGCAAAACGCGCCTCGGGCAGAAGCGACTGGTGCTCCGGTCAGAAAAAAAAAAATTAGTGGTGGGCCCAAGGAAGCGTTCCCACTAGGGAACTTGCTCTATACCATGTGAAGAAATGAGGAATGAATGAACTAGCAAGCAGGTGGGTACAAGTAGGAAAACCCAAAAGTGTTGTACCCCATATAGTCTACCCCACTACAGCCTACACAGACTATAGCAGATGAGTTTGACAACTCGAGCAATTCGGGGACACGTGGGCAAGAGCGAATCACCAAACAAGGCACTGGAGCAATTCTTTCCTAGTTTTTAGTGTGATGACACACTCACTGCTAAAGAGCTTATTCAGGCCACCGAACCTGCTGGTTAGCAGAAAACATTCGCTTTCAGACGAACTCGGAAAACATTCATTCCACTTCGGATGAATCAAATACAAAAATTTATAATGTGTATATATATACATTTGTTTCTGTAAAACCATATTGATTAAAAAGGGGTCTGAAAACCTCGGACAAGCAGTGATTTCAACCGTTTGCACACTCCCAGGATCTGGAAAATTTGCAAGCTTGCTTTTACAGCCCAAATTGCGTATTACTTTGTGTTCCACACCAACCATAGCTTAGGGGCAAAAACAGGAAAATGGGGATGCTCATGCTGCCCTGGAAACCCCCAAGAATCAAGCATCATGTCCTCAAGAAACCGAAGTAAAGAAGAACCCCTACTCATATTCCCCATGAGTGAATATATTTGGCACACTAAAGAGAACCACTATAAGACCAGTGCATCGTCCATCTCAATATCTGCAAAACCCGCATCCACGAGGACTGCAAGCAGCTCATGCGCCACGATCGTTTTGCGCACGGCTCCATCCATCCCCGCCTCAAAGCACGCTCGCTTCACCCCAACATCCAGATCTGCCGTCAGGGCTATGATGCACAGCCGCTGAGGACAGGCCCTTCTCAAACCCGCTGCTTCTTCTTTCACTGCCTCTCCCAGTGCTGTTGACTCTTGAGGCGTCTGAAAAGAAAATTCGTTGTCTGAACCGTCGGCTGCTGTCGTCAACTCTTGCGGCGTCTGAAAACTGAACTCGCTCGCTGCCTCGTCATCGGCTCTTGCTTCATTAGCTCCTTCTGCTTTACTTGCTGTGTCTGCTTCGTCTGTTCCTGCCTCATCGGCTGCTGCTGTTCCTGCCTGGCCAGCTCCCGCTGCGTCTGCTTCGTTTGCTGCTGTTGTTTCTGCCACGATAGAAAGCTGCTGCTCGCTCTCCATTTGCCGGATGCGCCGAGCCGTTTCGAATCTGCAGCATGGGGAGCAGTAGGCACAAGGTTAAAAAGCATCAGAGCAATGTCAAAAGCGCCACTCGTCAAACCAATGGAGAAGCACTGCCCCTTGTTCCCCTTGTTCCCCTTGTTCCCCTTGTTGCCCTTGTTCCTCTTGTTCCCCTTGTGCCCCTTGTGCCCCATGTGCCCCTTGTGCCCCTTCTCCCCCCTTCCTCCCATTCCGCACCAATGGAGCAGCACTGCCAAGCACTGCCAAGCACCGGATTTGACGCGCCACTTCAAGTCTGCCTCTTGGGAATTTACAAAAGAAGGCCAAGAATGGCAATCCAATCAAACTGTTCGTGACTCACAGCACAAGTCCCCACACTGCCGTCATGACGTTGCAACCAAGTTAGAAGAAAAAACGCTCACCTGTACTTGCGTATTGTGTTTATATGCTACAAAAATACGTACGCGTGTTTTCGTGTAAATACGCGAAAAAACGCTTAGGCAAACCGGGGAGAAAGAAAAAACCAGAATCTGGGTTTCAGCCGGCGACATGGCGCACTGAAATGTTTATCTGCCCGGGCCTGCGTCTTCTGTGCATACCGGACCCTTCCCGCGCAGCGTAAAGCTTTAATGTGCTAGCGGATATACGCTTGCGTAGAAAATGCGAAACACGTTCATTCCAACTTAGGTTGTGGCATAAAAGGGGAGGCAGAAGCAGGGAGGGCATGAGGGGTGAGGGAAGGAAGGCACTAACTACCAGGGTTTAGGGTGAAGATCAGAGTCGTCCCAAAAACTCGATTTTGAGATGAATAAAAGCAGGGAAGCACTCACCCATCGATGCCAGGAGGCATGTGGAGGTCCAGCAGCAGCAGTTGGAGGGGCGTGGAGAGGGAGGGAGGGAGAGGGGTCCATGTTGGAGGAGGAGACAGCTTGCAGGGCGTCCTCTCCCGAGGCCAGCAGCAGCACATGGGCCCGTATGCAGCGAGGCAGAGAGGCACTCACCCATCAATGCCAGGAGGCATGTGGAGATCCAGAAGCAGCAGTTGGAGGGGCGTGGAGGGAGAGGGGTCCATGTTGGAGGAGGAAACAACTTGCAGGGTGTCCTCTCCTGAGGCCAGCAGCAGCATGTCAGCCCCATAGCCCTGCAGTGTTCGCCGCGCCACCATGCGGTTCACCGCGTTGTCATCCACCACTGCCACCCGCCGCCTCGGGGCGGTGCAGAGAGGGGCAGCGCCAGCAGGATGGTGGTGCCTGTGGCGCTGTCTGACAGCACTGCCATGCTTCCCCTCATCTCTGCCACCTGGGGGAGGGGAGAGGTGGGTTGGTTGGGGGGGTAGGTGTATATAGCTGGAAAGTTAGCAGGATGGTGGTGCCTAAGGCAGCGTCTGAGAGCACTGCCATGCTTCCCCCCATCTCCGCCACCTGGGAGGGGTGGGGAGGCAAGGAGAGCGGCAGGGAAGAGTGAAGAGGGTTGCGAGTAGAGGCATGTGGTGTATGTATGGCCTCATGATGGCAATTCAGACATGACAAGCATTTATGAAACCTCAGCCTTTAATGCTGTGCCACCTTCCGTTAACACTTCTTCAACAGCGTTGCATTGTCTATGACAAACAAAACTTTTGAGGTGCCTCAAAAGCCGTTATCTGAGATTGCCAACCTCCTGAAGTGTCACATTACTTCCGACTGTCGCCACATGGATCTATACACATTCCTGCTCTCGTGCAGATCCGAATGCACCTAGTTGGACAACTAACCGACAACTGCCACATGGATCTATACACATCCTTGCTCTCGTGCAGATCCCAATGCACCTCGTTGTCCAACTTTCTCTTGTACGACCTAGACTTGTTTGGCATCCCTGCCACGATGGTAGTGCTCGAGTTTTGAGACGTTGCAAAACCTTGCCAAGATGGTAGTGCTCACTCCAGCCTTAACAAAATCAACGGTGTGTCTTCAACAGGCAACTAGACTTCTCAATTTGGATGCCACGACACTCAAAGGTGACGATTCAGTCGAGCATTGCAGCACTCACAAGGGAGGTGGAGAGGAGGAAGCGGACAGGGTAGGGCGTCCAGGGGGGGCGAGCAGCAGCCCTCTCATCGTGCGTGAGAGGGGTGGCTCTGTTGCCCCTTCTTGGCTGCTGTGAAATGGACAAGCACGCGAGAGGGGAGAGAGAGAGTGTTAAGGAACGAGGAGGGTGCAATAAACAAATGATGCGGGCGAAGAGGTGAAGAATGGAAAGGAAGGTGGGGAATGAGGTGCTAAGGATGGTTTTAAAAAGGGCGAGAGTCGATTGGAAAGAGGTGGAAGGCAGGTGCACGAAAAGGGCAAGTAGGCCGTTGACGAAGGAAGAGCATAGCGACACTAAAAGGCAACATTTAAAAAGCGAGTCAAGCGGGTCATTCATGTGTAGAAAGTGAAGTTTTGAGACGTCTCAAAACTTCACTTTCTACGCATAGCGACACCAAATGGCAGCATTTTGCGGGTCAAGCGGGTCGTTCATGAAAGGAAGGAGAGATGTGATGTGGAATGAGGTGGACGGGAGAGACAGAGAAGGGGACAAGTGGGTCGTTGAAGAGGGTAGAGAATAGCGACACCAAGAAGTAGCATGCGGGAAATAAATGCAAACAATAATCCAATGTAGTCACATGCACGCACTCATACATACTCTGACAATAGACAGGTTAATTTTCTCTTCTGCATCTTGCTAATTTCATCCTAAGAGGCTTGCGCACGATTACCTATTTTCAAGCGGAATTATCCTCGCAACGGATCGTTACAAAATCGTGCATGCAAACGCGCGCACGTGCGCCCACGGGCACGCACCCGCACATACTTGCACACACACACACACACACGCACGCACGCACGCACGCACACGGACGCACACGCACCCTTTTAAAACTCAATGGTTCATTAAAGCCCAGCCCCCGAATTACAAAGAGGCCTTCACAAAATGATGCCAGTTTGTGACTAGCTCCTACTGGTTTCGGGAAAGAAAGGTTTAGGGGAGGTTTTCGTGTCAGAATTATATTATAACTGCATGTAGTTCTAGCCTTAGTGTAGTTATCCTAACTTCCTGCTTGGAGGTGTACTCACCTTTCCTACCCTATTTGTACTCCACTTTCCATAGTGAAACCATTCTCCTTCTCGACTTTTCTCTCGACACTCATGTCTAGCCTACCCTAGCATGGCTCCTATTTCCTACTAAGCTACTATTTTAACATGGTATTAAGAGCAACACTTTCCTAGGACCTAATGTTCATGGGCCCACCACATGTCATAACATTATAGCTTATACAGTTGTGTAGGCTGTAGTGGGGTAGCCCATAAGGGGTACAACCCAAATAGGGTTAGTACTTGTACCCAACTGTTTGCTAGTTCATTCATTCTCGTTCGTTATTTTGACATGGAATCAGAGCAGGTTCCTTGGGCCCACCACCTGCTACGCTGCTAGTAACCGCCCCTAGGCCCGTCGCTCCTAGCCTACGCGGCCCGTCGACCCCTAGCCCGCGCCCGGCCCTGTTCCTAGCCAGCGCCCGGCCACGTCGACCCTTAGCCTCGCGCCCGGCCTCGTACCCAGCCCGCGCCCGGCCCCGTACCTATCCTCATGCCCGGCCCTGTATCGCGCCCGGCCCCGTTTTGCGCCAGGCCCCGTATCACGCCCGTCCCCGTATCGCGCCCGGCCACGTACCTAGCCTAGCGCCCAGCCCCGTATCGCGCCCGGCCCCGAATCGCGCCAGGCCCCATCTCTAGCCTAGCGCCCGGCCCCGTCTCGCGCCTGGCCCCGTATCGCGCCCAACGCCCAGCCCCGTTCCTAGCCTGCGCCCGGCCCCGTTTCGCGCCCGGCCCCGTTCCTAGCCTGCGCCCAACCCCGTATCGCGCCCGGCCCCGTTTCGCGCCCGGCCCGTACCTAGCCCGCGATCGGCCAGTACCTAGCCCCGCGCCCGGCCCCGTCTCTCGCCCGCGCCTGGCCCGTACCTGGCCCAGCGCCCGGCCCCGTCCCTCGCCCAGCGCCCGGCCCAGTACCTAGCCCCGCTCGGCCCCGTCCCTAGCCCCGCCCGGCCCAGTACCTAGCCCCGCCCGGCCCCGTACCTAGCCCCGCCACGGCCCCGTACCTAGCCCCGCCCGGCCCCGTACTTCGCCCCGCCCGGCCCCGTACCTAGCCCCGCCACGGGTCCATACCTAGCCCCGCCCGGCCCCGTACCTAGCCCCGCCCGGCCCTGTACCTAGCCCCGCCCGGCCCCGTACCTAGCCCCGCCCGGCCCCGTACCTAGCCCCGCCCGGCCCCGTACCTAGCCCGCGCCCGACCCCGTACCCAGCCCGCGCTCGGCCTCGTACCTAGCCCGCGCCCGGCCCCGTACCTAGCCCGCGCCCGGCCCCGTACCTAGCTTGCACCTGGCCCCGTACCTAGCCCACGCCCGGCCCAGTACCTAGCCAGCGCCCGGTCTACTATCGGTGCTGCTCCTGCTATAGCTGCTACAGCTACTGCTACAGCTGCTACTTCTGCTCCTACGTACTCCACAGCTATGGCTTCGCTTCGTGTCCTCGCGTTTGACCATGAGGGCAGACCGGTTCAGTTTGACACGCTAGGTCACTGAGCGATTCTAAGGACAGTGTCTTTCTTTTTGACCTAGCGTCAGGAGCCGCTACTGCCCCTCCCGCCACAGCCGACAGTTCGAATCGCTCACAGTGGCTTACTCGAGATGCTGCTGCTCGTTTAGCCATCCGCAACCATCTGCCATTAGCTGAGTGCGCTCACTTTGGACAGCACAGGACAGCACAGGCACTGTACGACGCTGTAGTCACTCGCTACTCCTCCCCTGCCACTGCTGCTCTTGGCCGCCTCCTTCTGCCCTACCTGTTCCCCGAGCTGTCCGCCTTTGCCAGAGTCGAGGACCTGGTTTCCCACCTTCGCACTTGTGATGCTCGCTACCGCGCTGCCGTTCCTGCTGAGTTCCTTGACAAGAACCCGCCCCCGATGTACATCACTCTCTACTTTATAGTCACCCGCCTCCCTGACTCTCTTCTCTCTGTCAGGGACCACTTCCTCTCTCTTGACCCCACCTCCCTCACTGTTGACCTCCTCGAGCAGCATCTCCTCGCAGCTGAGACTAGTGCAGTTGCTGTGGGTGCTGCTCGTGGCACTCTGCGCCGGCCCTTCTTTGAGGGGTGTTCCGCCTCCCCCCTTGCCCCCTCCTACGCCTCTGCTGCTGCTGCAGACGTCTCTGTTCCTGAGGACGCCGGGGCTGCTTCTGCTAGTGGGAAGCGCCGTAGCAGAAAGGACAAGGGTGGCAGGGATGGTGGTGGTGGCAGCGGCGGTGGTGGAGGTGGCAGCGGGAGTGGCGGAGGGGGCAGCAGTGGAGGTGGTGGCGGCGGTGGGAGTGGTGGCGGCGGTGGGAGTGGTGGGGGGAGTGGGGGCTCTGGTGGCGGTGGTGGAGGCAGCGGTGGGAGTGGCGGCAGCGGAGGCGGTGGGACTGGTGGAGGTGGGACTGGCGCTCGGCGTGTCGGTTTTGCGGGTGGCCAGCGTCAGCAGTAGCAGCGTCGGAGCGAGACCCTGTCTCCCCAGGAGCTTCGTGAGTGGTTTCTGTGTGGGTCGTCTGGGGGTAGTTGCCCGTATGTCATTCGCACGGGTGACCGTGCTGGTCAGACTTGCGGGCGGCTCCACACTCAGCACCGCTGCTTCTCCCGCCTCGACAACGCTTGGCGTGCTGAGTTTGGTGACGACGTCGAGCTCCCTCGCTGGGCAGATCTGCTTAAGTCTAGGATTGCGATCTTTGACCTAGACTTTGATGCTATTCTCTTTGCTATGTATGCTTTGTCTGTTAGTGTTGAGGGTGTCTGTTACCGGTGTGTGCCGCCTGACCCAGGTATAGCCGCTGCTGCTCTAGGTGCTAGTGAGTCTGGTACTCTCCCTGGTACTGCGCCTGCTGAGGCCTTGCACACCTTCACGTTGGACTCAAGCGCCTCGCGCTGTTTCTTCCGTGACAGCACCACCCTCACTCCTCTTCCTGCACCTGTCCCGGTCACACTGGCTGACCCCTCCGGGACCGCGTCAGTGTGTCAGTCAGTCAGTGTGCTGGTGCTGGTGTTGTCCCTGCTGGTTCTGGAGGTGCTGCGCGGCCGCGGCCGTACTTCGTTCCGCTCCTTGAGCAGGTTCTTGGTCTTCCGCCTTCTTCTGGTCCTGCTCCTTCCTTAGAGTGTCCACCGCCTGTCCAGTCAGAGTCACAGTTACAGCTGGCCTCCCCTCTACCTGCTCCCTCTCCCTACGCTGGTCCTACTGGAGGTCTTACTGAGCGTCGTGAGCCTGAGTCGCGTCCTGCGTCGCCTGTTCGCACTGCTCGCACTAGTCGTCGTGTTCCACGTCCGCGTCCTCCTGCTGTCCCTGGCACGCATCAGATGGCACTGCATCCTTCCACTGCGCCACAGCGTGTCCCTTTGCCGTCTCCTCCTGCGTCCTCTCTTCCTGCCCTTGCTGACCCGGCGTCTGACTCCCTTCGTGCTGTCAGTCCTACTGTCACGCGTCTCCTCGCCACTGTTGTCACTGACCCTTCCTTTGAGTCCACTGCTGCGTCTGCCTTAGTTACCGAGCTTGTCGACTTTGCTGCTCACTGTCGTCTCGACTTCGCCACTAGTCTGGTTGCTGAGTCTGCGTCTGTCTGTCCTCCGTCCGTCGGGGGTGAGTGTGCTCTTAGCACGGACGTCCTTGAGGACCGACAGGAGGAGTTCCAGTGTTTTGCTGCTGCTTTACCTCACCTCGTGTCCACGCTGCTTGCCCCTGAGGGAGACCCGGATGCACCAGACATCCCGACCCCGCGCTCTTACGCAGAGGCGATAGAGGGTCCTTACTCCTCTCAGTGGCAGGCAGCCATGGACGCAGAGATGGCTTCCTGGAAGTCCACAGGCACCTACGTCGACGAGGTTCCCCCACCTGGGGCGAACATCGTCAGTGGCATGTGGATTTTCAGGGTGAAGCGGCCGCCGGGTTCTCCGCCTGTCTTCAAGGCGCGTTACGTGGCTCGAGGCTTCAGTCAGCGGCAGGGAGTTGACTACTTTCAGACCTTCTCCCCGACCCCAAAGATGACCACTCTTCGGGTTCTGCTGCACGTTGCTGCCCAGCGTGACTACGAGCTTCACTCCCTTGACTTCAGCACTGCTTTCCTACAGGGCAGTCTGCACGAGGAGATCTGGCTGCGCCGCCCACCTGGCTTCACTGGGTCGTTTCCTCCTGGTACCCAGTGGAGCCTCCGGCGGCCAGTCTACGGTCTCCGCCAGGCGCCACGTGAGTGGCACGACACACTGAGGACTACACTTGCGGCTCTTGGGTTTGCTCCTTCCACTGCTGACCCGTCGCTGTTTCTTCGCACCGACACTTTGCTGCCGCCGTTCTACATCCTCGTGTACGTC